TCCAACCCCAGCAAACCCCAGTTTTAAGCCCAGTTAACACCCTGTCCAAGCCCAGGTAAACCCCAGTCAAACCCCAGTCCAACCCCCACCAAACCCCAGTTTTAAGCCCAGTTAAGCCCCATCCAACCCCATCAAACCCCATCAAACCCCAGTTTTAAGCCCCAGTTAAACCCTGTCCAACCCCAGCAAACCCCAGTTTTAAGCCCCAGTTAAACCCTGTCCAACCCCATCAAACCCCAGTTTTAAGCCCCAGTTAAACCCTGTCCAACCCCATCCAACCCCAGTTTTAAGCCCCAGTTAAACCCTGTCCAACCCCACCAAACCCCAGTTTTAAGCCCCAGTTAAACCCTGTCCAACCCCAGCAAACCCCAGTTTTAAGCCCCAGTTAAACCCTGTCCAACCCCATCAAACCCCAGTTTTAAGCCCCAGTTAAACCCTGTCCAACCCCATCAAACCCCAGTTTTAAGCCCCGTTAAACCCTGTCCAGCCCCATCCAACCCCAGTTTTAAGCCCCAGTTAAACCCTGTCCAACCCCAGCAAACCCCAGTTTTAAGCCCCAGTTAAACCCTGTCCAACCCCATCCAACCCCAGTTTTAAGCCCCAGTTAAACCCTGTCCAACCCCACCAAACCCCAGTTTTAAGCCCAGTTAAACCCTGTCCAACCCCAGCAAACCCCAGTTTTAAGCCCCAGTTAAACCCTGTCCAACCCCACCAAACCCCAGTTTTAAGCCCCAGTTAAACCCTGTCCAACCCCAGCAAACCCCAGTTTTAAGCCCCAGTTAAACCCTGTCCAACCCCATCAAACCCCAGTTTTAAGCCCAGTTAAACCCTGTCCAACCCCAGCAAACCCCAGTTTTAAGCCCCAGTTAAACCCTGTCCAACCCCATCAAACCCCAGTTTTAAGCCCCAGTTAAACCCTGTCCAACCCCAGCAAACCCAGTTTTAAGCCCCAGTTAAACCCCTGTCCAACCCCATCCCAACCCCAGTTTTAAGCCCCAGTTAAACCTGTCCAACCCCAGCAAACCCCAGTTTTAAGCCCCAGTTAAACCCTGTCCAACCCCAGCAAACCCCAGTTTTAAGCCCCGGTTAAACCCTGTCCCAACCCCACCAAACCCCAGTTTTAAGCCCCGGTTAAACCCTGTCCAGCCCCATCAAACCCCAGTTTTAAGCCCCAGTTAAACCCTGTCCAACCCCAGCAAACCCCAGTTTTAAGCCCCAGTTAAACCCTGTCCAACCCCAGCAAACCCCAGTTTTAAGCCCCAGTTAAACCCTGTCCAACCCCATCCAACCCCAGTTTTAAGCCCCAGTTAAACCCTGTCCAACCCCATCAAACCCCAGTTTTAAGCCCTGGTTAAACCCTGTCCAACCCCATCAAACCCCAGTTTTAAGCCCCAGTTAAACCCTGTCCAACCCCACCAAACCCCAGTTTTTAAGCCCCAGTTAAACCCTGTCCAACCCCATCCAACCCCAGTTTTAAGCCCCAGTAAACCCTGTCCAACCCCACAAACCCCAGTTTTAAGCCCCAGTTAAACCCTGTCCAACCCCAGCAAACCCCAGTTTTAAGCCCCAGTTAAAACCCTGTCCAACCCCAGCAAACCCCAGTTTTAAGCCCCAGTTAAACCCTGTCCAACCCCATCAAACCCCAGTTTTAAGCCCCAGTTAAACCCTGTCCAACCCCAGTTAAACCCTGTCCAACCCCACCAAACCCTAGTTTTAAGCCCCAGTTAAACCCTGTCCAACCCCATCAAACCCCAGTTTTAAGCCCCAGTTAAACCCTGTCCAAGCCCATCAAACCCCAGTTTTAAGCCCCAGTTAAACCCTGTCCAACCCCATCAAACCCCAGTTTTAAGCCCCAGTTAAACCCTGTCCAACCCCAGCAAACCCCAGTTTTAAGCCCCAGTTAAACCCTGTCCAACCCCATCCAACCCCAGTTTTAAGCCCCAGTTAAACCCTGTCCAACCCCATCAAACCCCAGTTTTAAGCCCCAGTAAACCCTGTCCAACCCCATCAAACCCCAGTTTTAAGCCCCAGTTAAACCCCTGTCCAACCCCAGCAAACCCCAGTTTTAAGCCCCAGTTAAACCCCTGTCCAACCCCATCCAACCCCAGTTTTAAGCCCCAGTTAAACCCTGTCCAACCCCACCAAACCCCAGTTTTAAGCCCCAGTTAAACCCTGTCCAACCCCAGCAAACCCCAGTTTTAAGCCCCAGTTAAACCCTGTCCAACCCCAGTTAAACCCCACCAAACCCCAGTTAAACCCTATCCAACCCCAGTTAAACCCCATCCAACCCCAGTTAAACCCTGTCCAACCCCAGTTAAACCCCATCCAACCCCAGTTAAACCCCATCCAACCCCAGTTAAACCCCATCCAACCCCAGTTAAACCCTGTCCAAGCCCAGGTAAACCCCAGTCAAACCCTGTTAAACCCCAGGTAAACCCCATCAAACCCCAGTTTTAAGCCCCAGTTAAACCCTGTCCAACCCCAGCAAACCCCAGTTTTAAGCCCCAGTTAAACCCTGTCCAAGCCCAGGTAAACCCCAGTCAAACCCCAGTCCAACCCCACCAAACCCCAGTTTTAAGCCCCAGTTAAGCCCCATCCAACCCCATCAAACCCCATCAAACCCCAGTTTTAAGCCCCAGTTAAACCCTGTCCAACCCCAGCAAACCCCAGTTTTAAGCCCCAGTTAAACCCTGTCCAACCCCATCCAACCCCAGTTTTAAGCCCCAGTTAAACCCTGTCCAACCCCACCAAACCCCAGTTTTAAGCCCCAGTTAAACCCTGTCCAACCCCATCAAACCCCAGTTTTAAGCCCAGTTAAACCCTGTCCAACCCCATCAAACCCCAGTTTTAAGCCCCGGTTAAACCCTGTCCAGCCCCATCAAACCCCCAGTTTTAAGCCCCAGTTAAACCCTGTCCAACCCCAGCAAACCCCAGTTTTAAGCCCCAGTTAAACCCTGTCCAACCCCATCCAACCCCAGTTTTAAGCCCCAGTTAAACCCTGTCCAACCCCACCAAACCCCAGTTTTAAGCCCCAGTTAAACCCTGTCCAACCCCATCAAACCCCAGTTTTAAGCCCCAGTTAAACCCTGTCCAACCCCAGCAAACCCCAGTTTTAAGCCCCAGTTAAACCCTGTCCAACCCCATCCAACCCCAGTTTTAAGCCCCAGTTAAAACCCTGTCCAACCCCATCAAACCCCAGTTTTAAGCCCCAGTTAAACCCTGTCCAACCCCAGCAAACCCCAGTTTTAAGCCCCGGTTAAACCCTGTCCAACCCCATCCAACCCCAGTTTTAAGCCCCAGTTAAACCCTGTCCAACCCCAGCAAACCCCAGTTTTAAGCCCCAGTTAAACCCTGTCCAAACCCATCAAACCCCAGTTTTAAGCCCCAGTTAAACCCTGTCCAACCCCACCAAACCCCAGTTTTAAGCCCCAGTTAAACCCTGTCCAACCCCACCAAACCCCAGTTTTAAGCCCCGGTTAAACCCTGTCCAACCCCATCAAACCCCAGTTTTAAGCCCCAGTTAAACCCTGTCCAACCCCATCCAACCCCAGTTTTAAGCCCCAGTTAAACCCTGTCCAACCCCATCCAACCCCAGTTTTAAGCCCCAGTTAAACCCTGTCCAACCCCATCAAACCCCAGTTTTAAGCCCCGGTTAAACCCTGTCCAACCCCACCAAACCCCAGTTTTAAGCCCCGGTTAAACCCTGTCCAGCCCCATCAAACCCCAGTTTTAAGCCCCAGTTAAACCCTGTCCAACCCCAGCAAACCCCAGTTTTAAGCCCAGTTAAACCCTGTCCAACCCCAGCAAACCCCAGTTTAAGCCCCAGTTAAACCCTGTCCAACCCCATCCAACCCCAGTTTTTAAGCCCCAGTTAAACCCTGTCCAACCCCATCAAACCCCAGTTTTAAGCCCTGGTTAAACCCTGTCCAACCCCATCAAACCCCAGTTTTAAGCCCCGGTTAAACCCTGTCCAACCCCACCAAACCCCAGTTTTAAGCCCCAGTTAAACCCTGTCCAACCCCATCCAACCCCAGTTTTAAGCCCCAGTAAACCCTGTCCAACCCCACCAAACCCCAGTTTTAAGCCCCAGTTAAACCCTGTCCAACCCCAGCAAACCCCAGTTTTAAGCCCCAGTTAAACCCTGTCCAACCCCACCAAACCCCAGTTTTAAGCCCCAGTTAAACCCTGTCCAACCCCAGCAAACCCCAGTTTTAAGCCCCAGTTAAACCCTGTCCAACCCCACCAAACCCCAGTTTTAAGCCCCAGTTAAACCCTGTCCAACCCCATCAAACCCCAGTTTTAAGCCCCAGTTAAACCCTGTCCAACCCCACCAAACCCCAGTTTTAAGCCCCAGTTAAACCCTGTCCAACCCCATCCAACCCCAGTTTTAAGCCCCAGTTAAACCCTGTCCAACCCCATCAAACCCCAGTTTTAAGCCCCAGTTAAACCCTGTCCAACCCCAGCAAACCCCAGTTTTAAGCCCCGGTTAAACCCTGTCCAACCCCATCCAACCCCAGTTTTAAGCCCCAGTTAAACCCTGTCCAACCCCACCAAACCCCAGTTTTAAGCCCCAGTTAAACCCTGTCCAACCCCATCAAACCCCAGTTTTAAGCCCCAGTTAAACCCTGTCCAACCCCACCAAACCCCAGTTTTAAGCCCCAGTTAAACCCTGTCCAACCCCATCAAACCCCAGTTTTAAGCCCCAGTTAAACCCTGTCCAACCCCATCAAACCCCAGTTTTAAGCCCTGGTTAAACCCTGTCCAACCCCATCAAACCCCAGTTTTAAGCCCCAGTTAAACCCTGTCCAACCCCATCAAACCCCAGTTTTAAGCCCTGGTTAAACCCTGTCCAACCCCATCAAACCCCAGTTTTAAGCCCCGGTTAAACCCTGTCCAACCCCAGTTTTAAGCCCCGGTTAAACCCTGTCCAAGCCCTGGTTGGGGGGTGCTCTGGGGGCGCTGGCTCCGCGTGGCGCCGGTGCTGAGGCGAGCCCCCGCAGGCACGGCGGTGAGGACTACGTGTTCTCGCTGCTGACCGGGTACTGCGAGCCGCCGGCGGGGGTGACGGTGCGCGAGGGGCTGCACTACAACCCCTACTTCCCGGGGCAGGCCATCGGCATGGCCCCCCCCATCTACAGCGAGGTCCTCGAGTACGACGATGGTGAGAGGGGAACGGGGCCGGGGGGCCGGGGCCTGCCCTTGGGCTGCAGCAGCCCCATGGAAGGAACGGGGCCGGGGGGGGCGGGTGATGGAGCTGAGCAGGAGCCTGTGCCCACGGCAACCGCATCCCGGCTGGAGCAGCACCAGGGCCAGGGCAGGGGTTGAGCCCCTGCACCGGGCACCGGGGAGGCCGCACCTGGGATCCTGTGCTCGGCTCCGGGCCCCTCACTGCAAGAGAGACCTTGAGGTGCTGGAGTGGGGCCGGAGAAGGGAATGGAGCTGGAGCAGGGCCTGGAGCACAGGGGTGATGGGGAAGGGCTGAGGGACCTGGGGGGGTTCAGATGGGGAAGGGAAGGCTCAGGGGGGACCTGATGGCTCCCTCCAAGTGCCTGCCAGGAGGATGGAGCCAGGAGGGGCTGGGCTCTGCTCCCAAGGAACAAGGGATGGGACGAGAGGAACCGGCCTCAAGCTGCATCAGGGCAGGGTTAGGTGGAGCTGAGGGACAGTTCATCCCTCACGGGTGGTCAGGGGCTGGGTGCAGGGAAGAGGTTGAGTCATTGCCCCTGGTGGTACCTAAAGGATGCGTAAATGGGGCGCTTGGGGCCATGGGTTCGTGGTGGCCTTGGCAGGGCTGGGAACCCTTGGGCTTGCTTAAAAGCCTTTTCCACCCTGGTTGATTCCGAGAGGTCTCAGGACTGTGCCCGCACCCGTGGGTGCTGCTCACCCCATTGTAACCCTCCCCTCCCCAAGGCACCCCGGCCACCATGTCACAGATTGCCAAGGACATCTGCACCTTCCTGCGCTGGGCAGCGGAGCCGGAGCACGACCACCGCAAACGGATGGGCCTGAAGGTGGGTGCTGGGGGGCCGAGGGGGACCCAGCGAGCCCCCCGTGTGCCCAGAGCCATGGGGCTGAGCTCGGGTGCTTCCTCCCCCTATAGATGCTGATGATCTCGGGGCTCCTCATCTCCCTCCTTTACTACTTGAAGCGCCACAAGTGGTCGGTGCTGAAGAGCCGGAAGATGGTTTATCGGCCCCCCAAGTAGGGGGCATGGGGGGTGTCCTCCCCCTTGCGGTTCCCCCGTCACCCCCGGGTGCAGCAATAAAGCCTGGGTTGATCGCGGCTCAGCGGGTGCCGGTTGCGCCGCGGTTGCCGTCGCTCGGAGCCCAGGGAAGGGGGTTCCGGTGGTGCCGCCGTGTGCCGGGGCCACGCGAGGCCCTGCGGCACCACCGTGCCCGTGTCCGTCCTCTCCTTCGGCCGTGGGGCTCCGGTGGGCCCTGGCTGTGGCGCGAGGCGGTGCCGGCACCGGCTCAGTGGCAGTTCTGGCACCGGGGGTGGCACTTTTGGCCGTTGACGTTGCAGCGGCACCCGCCGCTGGTGTCACCGGGGCCCTGCGTGGGGACGTTAACCCAGGTCATGGGGGGGGGCACCCCACGGCGGGCGTGGGGCTGCGGGCTCTGGGTACCGCACTCACCGCCGGCCCCCAGCGCGGCCCCTTGGTGACCCAGCAGATCTCGGTCTGGCACACGGCGCAGCGGATCCAGTCGCACCCGTCCTTCTTCTGCACCACGATGAGGCACGTGGGGCAGTGCATGGCGTCCCCCCGCTGCACCAGCGTCTGCGGGGACACCCCGGGGCCGTGGGCACGAGCCAGGCCCCCCCGGTGCCCCCCAAAGCCCAGCTCCCACCTGCAGCATGGCGCTGGTCTGCCGCGCCGCCGCGTCGTTCCGCGCCCGCAGCTCCAGGTCGTCCTGGTACTGGCGGCAGTTCCGGCCCTCGTGGATGGCCTGGGGAGGGGGGGACAGAGCTGTGATGGGGAGCGGCCATGGGGCTGTGCCGGGGGGCGGCTGGGAGGGGGCTGGAGGTGCTTGGGTGGGGGTTGGTGGGGTTTGGAGCTGGTTTGGTTTGAGGGGGGTTGGAGCTGGTTTGCTGGTGGATTGGCAGCCATTTGGTGCTGGTCTAGTGGTGGTTTGGAGGCGGTTTGAGGTAGTTTGGTGCTGTTTTGGTGGAGGTTTGGTGCTGTTTTGGTGCTGGTTTGGTGGAGGTTTGGTGCTGGTTTGGAGGTGATTTGGTGCTGGTTTGGTGCTGTTTTGGTGGAGATTTGGTGCTGGTTTGGTGGAGGTTTGGTGGAA